ACATTCCAAAAATCTGAGCACCATGAGAGTTGAAGAGCTGCAAAGTAGTCTAGAGGCGCATGAGTTGCGTATGACTGCAAGAACTTCTGATAGGGAAGTAGAGCAGCAGGCTCTGAAAGTAACTTCTGATAAGAAGCATCAAAAGCAGACTTGGTTAGAAGCCAAGAAGAGAACTAATGGTGGTCAAAAGTCAAAAGCTTCAAACTCTGATAGGCAGAAGAATGTCCAGAAGGGAAAGGAGAAGTCTGACAAAAAGAATGTTTAATGTTAATGTTGTAAGAACTTTGGTCACTATGCCAGAGATTGTTGGTCCAACAAAGAAAGGAAGTCAGAAGAAGCAAATATAGCAAGAGGAGACTCTGATGATGAACCTGTGCTATTGTTGGCTTCTGAACCAGATGATTTGAATTCATCGGAATGGTGGTATATGGACACAGGATGTTCAAACCATCTTACTGGAAATAAGAAGTGGTTGGTTGACTTTGACTCTGGGAAGAGTACAAAGGTCAAAAGTGCTGATGATAAATACCTCAATGCAGAAGGTATGAGAAATGTCAGAATCATTCTAAATAATGGGAAAGCAGCAGTGATCCAAAATGTTTGGTATGTATCTGGCATGAAAAGTAATCTGATGAGTGTGGGACAACTGGTTGAGAAAGGTTTTTCAGTTACTATGAAGGACAATCTTCTGAAGCTGTAAGACTGTAATCAGAAGCTGATTATGGAGTCAGAATAGGGAAGGAACATAAAATTCAAGGTGAATGTTAGAACTGCAGACTCTGAATGTCTCAGTGCAACAAGTGTTGTCAAGGAGAGTGAGTTGTGGCACAGAAGATTTGGTCATCTGAATTTCAGAAGTTTAGGGCATCTGAAATCAAAGAATCTGGTACATAGAATTCCTACAATCAAGAAGCCTGAAAAGTCATGCAAGATGTGCATGGAAGGGAAGCAACCAAGACTACCTTTTGCATCAGAAGTAGCTCTAAGAGCAAAACATGCCTTAGGAGTAGTACATTCTGATGTGTGTGGTCCATTTCCAGTAGCATCGACCGGAGGGAATAAATATTTTGTGTCATTTGTTGATGAGTTCACCAGAATGACATGGGTATCTCTCATAAAGTTCAAACACGAGGTGTTTGCGGAATTCAAAAAGTTCAGACTGAAGGTTGAGAATCAGAGTGGCCAGACTCTGAAAATTCTTAGAACTGATGATGGTGGTGAGTATAACTCCACAAAATTCAGAAGTTTCTGTGAGGATAATGGAATTGAGCATGAGGTTACTGCTCCATATACTCCTCAACATAATGGTATTGCTGAAAGAAGAAGTCGTACTTTGCTAGATATGGTGAGAAGCATGCTGAAAGAGAAGAAGCTTCCTCATACTCTGTGGGGAGAAGCTGTTGCAATTGCATGTTATGTGCTCAATAGATGTCCAACAAAGAAATTAAAGGAAATAGTTCCTATTCAGAAGTGAACTGGAGATAAGCAAAGTGTTAGTCATCTGAAGGTATTTGGTTCTGTGTGTTACAAACATGTCCCAAAAGCCAGAAGACATAAGCTGGATGATAGAAGTAAAGTGATGTTGCTGGTGGGGTATCACAGTACAGGTTCGTACAAACTTTATTGTCCAGAAACTAACAAAGTTGAGTTCAGAAGAGACGTTATTATAGAGGAATCAGAAGTTTGGAATTGGGAAAAGTCTCGTCCTGACTCTGATGATAGAACTTCTGAAGAAAGGTCAGAAATACATGTTTCTGAAGCTAGTCAAGACTCTGACTCTGAAGAAGATACAGAAGGAGAAGATGATTCTGACTCTGACTCCGATGGTGATCCAGACTCTGAAGGGGAAAGTTATGGAGAAATTCCAATTTCTGAAGCAAGTGCTTCTGAAGGGGAAAGTTCTGGAGAAAGTCCAATTGCTGAAGCAAGTGCTTCTGAAGGGGAAAGTTCTGAGGGTCCAGTTTAGAGGCAACAAAGAGTAAGAAGCATCCCAAGAAGATTTGCAGAGTTTGACATGTTGCAAGACACTGAAGTAAACTCTAAAGGAGAAGTTATTCAGTGTGCAATGTTAGTAGACTATGAACCCGTGAGTACAGAAGAGGCTCTTAAGCGGCAAGTTTGGTTACATGCCATGAAAGAAGAACTTGATGCTATAGAGAGAAACAAGACTTGGAAGCTGACAAAACTTCCAAAAGGCAAGAAAGCCATCAGCGTCAGATGGGTTTTCAAGCAGAAGCTAAAGCCAGATGGATCAATTGGCAAACACAAAGTGAGATTAATAGCAAGAAGCCTGTGCTGGATTACTTTGAAGTGTTTTCACCTGTAGCGAGACATGAAACAATCAGACTAGTGATTGCAATAGCTGCTAACAAGAATTGGCCTCTGATGCATTTAGATGTAAAATCTGCATTTCTGAATGGTCCATTACAAGAAGAGGTGTACGTTTCACAACCTCCTGGATTTGAGAAAAATAATCAGGAAGGGATGGTGTTTAAATTACACAAAGCATTGTATGGATTGAAGCAAACGCCTAGAGCTTGGAACTTGAAAATTGATTCGTTTTTCAAGGAACAAGGGTTTCAGAAGTGTGAGATGGAGTATGGTGTTTATGTTCAGTACACTTCAGAAGGTAATATGATTCTGGTATGTTTGTATGTTGATGATATATTACTCACAGGAAGTTCTGAACAAGAGATAGCTGAGTTCAAGAAAGTTCTGATAAATGCGTTTGAGATGACAGGTCTTGGAAAAATGAGTTTCTTTCTAGGGATGGAATTTATATACTCTGAGAAAGGAATCATTTTACATCAGATGAAGTATGAACTAGAGCTTCTGAAGAGATTTGAGCTAGAAAATTGCAAGGTTGCTATCACACCTGTTGATACGAATCAGAAGTTGGATTCTGATTCTGATGGAGAGGATGTGGATGCTACAACCTTCAAACTGATGGTTGGTTCTCTAAGGTATTTATGTAATACCAGACTTGATATTTGCTATGCAGTTGGAATGATTAGCAGATTTATGAGCAAATCAAAGTGGTCTCATTACCAAGCTGTAGTCAGGATTCTGAAGTATGTGAAGGGAACTCTGAAATATGGAGTGTTATTTCCGTCTGGAAGAAAGATCGAATCAGAACTTCTGAGCTATTCTGATTCTGATTGGTGCGGAGATAGAGTTGACAGAAGAAGTACTTTTGGATACTTATTCAAATTTATGAGAGGTCCAATTTCTTGGTGTTCCAAGAAGCAACTTGTTGTTGCTCTGTCAACCTGTGAAGCTGAATATATTACAGGTGCTCTGACTGCATGTCAAGCTGTGTGGATTCTGAACTTGCTAAAAGATCTGAAGATTGAGGTAAATAAACCTTTGAAACTGATGATTGATAACAAGTTTGTAATCAATCTTGCCAAGAATCCAGTGTTGCATGTGAGAAGCAAGCATATTGAGACCAAGTATCATTTTCAGAGGAATCAAGTTCATAATGGAATAATAGAGGTTGTGCACTGTAGCACTCAAAAGCAGCTGACAGATGTTCTGACAAAGGATATCAAAACTGATCAATTTCTTGGTTTAAGGGATGGAATTGGTGTTGTCAGTTTTGGGTAAATATAAATTAAGGGATGATGTAAGAATTAATTTATATTTAATTATATATTAATTTATATTTAGGAATATCTTTTAGATTGTTTATATCTTTGTTAGAAGATATAAATCTTAGATCTTCTTATATCTTTGTAGAAGATATATTTTAGATTTAATTTGTGTGTATAAATAGCCTAGTGGAGTAGGTTATTGTAATTCATTGTAAATCTTTATTTTTTTGAAGCTATCAGTAAATATTCCATTTGCTTTTTATCATTCTTGTGCTCCAACAATATGAAACTAAAAATGATATTTAAAAATGAAAAACTAATATTTCATGATGATTTTGAATATATATATATATATATATATATATATATATATATATATATATATATATATATATATATATATATATATATATATATATATATATATATATATATATATATATATATATATATATATATATATATATATATATATATATATATATATATATATATATATATATATATATATATATATATATATATATATATATATATATATATATATATATATATATATATATATATATATATATATATATATATAATATTTTAGAAATGGAAAATTATATAACAAAAGTTATTTAAACTTTTAATAAAGAAATTCAAAAACAAGTCATTCACTCTTTAAATAAAATTCATTCAAATTATCTTATCAAAATAATTTTAATTAATTTTTAAATAAGATAAAATATTAAATAAAAATGAAAACAAAAAATATAAAATATAAAACTTAACTCATCAAATAACTAACAAAAACGATAATCAAACATGTCTAATACATCTCTAAAAAAAAATTTCAAACACAAATATTATGTGAATTCCATTAAATACAAATAATTCTATTAATCATTTAAGAAAAGTCATTCAAACAAAAACTTACTTTTTCATAGAAAAATAAATAAAAAAGTTTACTCCTAAGTCAGAATGCTCCCTCAAAAGAAAAAATTAACTATAACAATTATAAACTATCATTTTATAATTTGACAATTTAATTAGTTAATATAATTGAATTTATATAATTATTGTTTATTTTATAATTAAATAAGTTGTTTTAAATTTAATTATTAATCTAAATATATTTTATATCATATTAAATAAATTTATCCGTCTCGACGCATAAATATTTTATTATTTTTTATAGTAACAAATAATTATATAAAATGACCAAAATTTCCTCAATTTTCCTATCATGAATTTGGAAATGCTCCACTTACTTGTTACCAAACAATAATTTAAAAGGTGTATATAAAAAATTGTCGCTTTCATGCCTAGGCCAAATCCAAAACATTATCTTCATTTCCATTGCTGCTTGTGTCTTAAATTTTGTGTGAGTGTAAAGTGAAGCTGAGTTCCACTCATACTCAAATGTTATTCTCTATGAAGCTTCATTGCTTCTATAAGCATCCACCATCATCACTTTTCGCATCAGTTTCTAAACCGTTATTAAACAATCATAAATCCATATTCAAAGAGAGAAGCCTCATCAAAAACCCTTCTTCATTTTCTTTAAGTGGTATAGTTCATGCATTGAACGAAGATTCAAAGCAATATGAGATAGATCCAGAGAAGGCCAAAGAAGCCCTCAAAGAACTTGACCAGAAAATCCAATCTATCTCTAATAAACAAGTTTCCTCTCCAAAACTCAAGGGTACTTACTCTCTTGTTTTTTTCTCTTACTTTTCATTCTCAAATTGATAATTCTTTGCTTTCAAATATCATTTTTGTACTTTTTTGCAGTTTTGGATATGAAGCCTACAAGAGAGGAAATGACAAGTGAGAATGGTAAGCTAGAAATTTCAGAGTCGTTTCTTGGACTTCTAGCTGGTGGACTTGTGCTACTTACTATATTGTACAATGTACTATTTATTACCGTAATTAAGCCATCCATTGATGGTCCATAGCCTATATCTAGGAGCAGTGTTTGACATTAATATATGTAACATCAAGATATAATTTTCTCATCACCATGTTCTTAGTCTTCCATAGCCTATATCGTTGATGATGCTATTACAATAATCGAGAGAATGACGCTCAACGATAATCAAAACCAATATAACATAAGTTCCACTCAAAGAAAACATAAAGTCCTCGAACTAAACATCAATGATGCAATGCTTGTATGTATAAAAGCTACCCACTCACACCGTGGAAGAGCTTTTGAAACAATTAATAAAACCTTAACGAAAACTTAGATAATTACAAGAAAATTATGATAATTGCAAACAAGTTTCATTTTGTGAATTATGTGTGTTGGAAATTCACTAAAATCTATGATGAATTTCTAACAATCTTGATGAATAAAATTGATATCATCACACAATGACAATGAAAAATAAAATATGAAGCAAAAAAATAAAGTATTTTTCTGCAGAGTTTCTCTCTACCTATAAATTATGAAAAATTTTATTATTCACTTTGCAACTGTAAATTCTATGAATACAATTTGATTGACTTGATTATAAAATAGGAGTTACTCTCTCTATACGTAATTTTAGGTTAGTTTGCTCTCTAAATCAAAGATCCAAAACTATAAAAGCTTAAAATACCTATTTTGAAACTAAAATAAATATATTCTATTTTAGATCTAAATCAAATCTATCTAAATCTAAAATCAAATATGTGTGCAGTATCTTCGACACACCATATTTCAACACTTTCTTGTCTCTGTCGAGCAAACTGCTCTGACACAAGGAATTACTTTCAACACACCACTTAATTTATTGTGTCTAAGCTATCTACATTATCATAGCTCTTAGTCTTCGACATACGTCAACCTGCACACTTTTCGTCATGATGTCTGCAATCTGATTCTCAGTTCTGCAGTGTTCCAAGTTCATCTTCCCATCTACTATCTGCTCTCGAAGATAATGGAACCTCATTTCAATGTGCTTGCTTCGACCATGAGCTATCAGATTCTCCGCCTGATTGATAGCTGACATGCCGTCTATCTTCATGGCAATTACTTCATGATCTTTACCTGTAATTTCTTCAACCAAGTTCACCATCCATGTTGCTTGACATTCACAACGAGAAACCATTATGTATTCTGCTTCACACGATGATAATGTCACTACTGGTTCCTTTCTTGAACTCCAAGCAACCGGTGCACCGCCTAACATAAACACATAATCTACTGTGGACTTTTGATCCTCAACATCATTACACCAACTCGAATCAGTATACCCTACTAACTTATATTTTTTTCCTTTATCAGCTGCAGGAAACAAAATACCATAGTCAAGAGTTCCTTTAAGATTCCTTAGTATCCCCTCCGCCGCTGCTAGATGTGATACCTTTGGCTTCTGCATGAATCTACTTACCATACCTACAATGTATGCTAAGTCAAGCCTTGTATGACAAAGATATCTCAATGACCCAATAAGTCTTCTGTATTGGGTTGGGCCGACATCATATTCATCTGCATCTTTCGACAGTTGTAGTCTTTGTTCTGCAGGTGTCGAAGTCGAGTTGCATTCTTCCATCTCAAATCTCTTGAGAATTTATCCTGCATATCTTCTTTGATGCATCATCAAACCTCTGTTGCTCTTGTATAATTCGATGCCAAGGAAATATGAAATTTCACCAAGACCAGACATTTTGAATTCCTTGCTGAGATCCCCTTTGAAGTCTACGATCTCCTTCTTGCAACTATCTGTTATTAATAAGTCATCGACATAGAGACATAGTATAAGCAATTCACTATTGCTTCTTCTTACATATACTCCATGTTTAGTTGTACACTTCACAAATTCCTTCTCTCTTAGAAAACTATCAATCTTCTTATTTTAAACTCTTGGAGCTTGTTTCAATGCATACAGGGCTTTATGTAGCGTGTACACCTTTCTCACTTCGTCGTGTTTCACAAATCCAACTGGTTGTTTAACATGAAATTCTTCGTCTAAGGGTCCATTCAGGAATGTGCACTTCACGTCCATCTGACATATGCGCCAACTGTTTATTTCTGCTAGACCAACAACCAACTTGATTGTTTCAATCCTAGCAACAGGTGCAAATACTTCATCGAATTCTATTTCTTCTTTCTGTAGAAATTCTTTTGCCACAAGTCTTGATTTTTATTGAATTACTTCCCCTTTGGGATTCATCTTCACTTTGTATACCCACTTGACATCAATTTCTTTCTTGCCTTGAGGCAATTCAACAATTGACCAAGTATTATTGTCTTCAATGGACTTCACTTCTTTGTTCATTGCTTTCACCCACTTCGAATCCTTCAATTCTTCAACTGCATTGACTGGTTTGACATCTGCATAGAAATCATAATGTACCAATTCACCTTCGTTATCAACCACATTATATGATGTAATCACACATTCTTGCAACCTTGCAGGCATGCATCTTGTTCTTTGATGTCTGCTTGTACTTGGTTGATCTATAACTGTTGGTTCCTCTTGTCAAACTTCTCTTTCAACTTGAGTTTCTGGTTCTTCAAGTAGGATTGCCACTGAATCTTTCTTGACATTTTCAGTCTAATCCCATTTTATAAGCTCATCTATGATCACGTCCCTGCTGATCACAATCTACTTGTTCACTGGGTCGAACAACTTGTAACTTCCTGTCGAATGATATCCAACTAGAATCACTTGACTCGACTTGTCATCAAGTTTCCTTCTCAACTGATCTGGCACGTGTCAATGTGCAATAGATCCAAATACCTTCAGATAACTCAAGCTAGGCTTCGTACCAGACCAACATTCTTCTGGAGTAATTCCTTCTAGCTTTTTCGTAGGACATTTATTCAAAATATATGTTGTAGTCGACACAACTTCACCCCAAAACTCTTTAGATAAATGCATGCCTTTAAACATATTTCTCACCATATTCATGATGGTTCAATTCTTCCTTTTTACAGTTCCATTCTACTATGGAGTGTAGGGTGGCACCACCTCATGCACAATCCCCTCTTTCTCACATAATTGGTTGAAGTCTTTCGACACATATTCTCCACCACCACCAGTTCTCAAAACTTTGAGCTTTCAACCATTTTGTATTTTGACCATAGACTTAAACTTGGAAAATACCTCGATCACTTCACTTTTCTTCTTGATTAGGTAAGTCCACAGTTTTCGACTGTAATCATTTATGAACATGACAAAGTATTTGTTACCTCCAAATGAATCCACCTGGATTGGTCCACATACATTAGAGTATATGACTTCGAGTACAACCTTCGACTTGCTTCCCGCATCCTTGCTGAAGCCATTCTTGTTTTGTTTCATTTGCACACATTCCTCACACACCTTGCTTGGAATGTCAGTTTCTGGAAACCCTGAAACCATATTTATTCTCTTCAAATATCTTATGTCTTTGAAGTTGAGATAGCCTAGTTGATAATGCCATGTCCATTCATCTCTGCTAGCTGCAGTCGAAAGGCACTTGTGCTCCATCACATTAAGTTCAATCTTGAAGGTTATATTTTGAGACATAGGAGCCTTCAAGATTAATCTTCCATTTGCGTCAACGACTCTCATCATCTTGTCTTCGACCAACACTTTGTAATTCTTTTCGACCAACTTCCTTATGATGAGCAAGTTGCTCTTCATGCCTGGTATGTACAACACATTGGAAATTACTGACCTTTTACCATCTTTTCTCATAATCAAAACAACTCCAATACCTTCAGCTGCTAGAGTATTGTCATTTGCAAATTTTACCATATTCTTCATTGAGGGTTTTAGGTTGACAAACAAATCTTTCCTTCCAGACATATGTGATGAGCATCCTGAATCCAAGTACCATCGATCCTTAAATTTTTCTTCATCTCTTATTGTAACCATCCACAACATCTCATATTCTTCATAATTTGTGAACTTTGCATCATTTTCTTGATTCTTTCGCTTTTCTAGACAATCACTCGAATAGTGATAAATTAACTCAAGTGAAGGAACCAAGTCAGGTATATGAAAAATGTTGCAAAGCTAAGAAAGATAGGAAAGCATTCAAGCATGGCTTTCCCATAAGGTCGAAAGAAAAGTTAGAGCTAGTTTATTATGATGTGTTTGGACCTTTTGAAGTAAGGTTGAATGGAGGTAATTCTTACTTTCTAACCTTCATAGATGAATTCACCAGATATATATGGATTTACCTTATCTAAAGGAAGAGTAAGGTATTCACATAGTTCAAGAAGTTTAAATTTTATGTCAAGAAACAAAGTGGATGCCAATTAAATTAACTAATAACTGATGGTGACGGTGAATACAATTCTAGATAATTTGCCCAGTTCTGCAATGAAGAAGGTATAAAGTATGAGATAATTGCACCCTATGTGTTGTACCCCAAAATTTGCCCTCCCATATTTCTCAAAAACATTTCAAGAAAAATTCACAAGTCCAACCTGGCGCGTCATATTCAGGTATTCTTTCGCCAAGATATCTCTGATAACGTATTCTCAAATTCAGGTTCGGCTCAAGAGTCAATTCTTTAAAGAAGGTATCCGAATGTGTGAGTTTTCTTGAAGAAATATAGTGAAAAAGTGTGCTGAAAGTGCAGTTTTTACGCGCTAAAAAATTCATAACTTGAAGATCGTGACTCGTTTTGAACCCGTTCCGGTGGCCAAAATTCTGTCTTGACATTATCTAAGTTTTCATCTCTCACGGCTGGAAGACAATTTCGATCAGAAGGTCTTCAAAAATGTGGATTTATCAAGTATTTTCGCACAGAAAATTTGTGACAGAAGTTTATCTGCGTCATGTTCAGAAAATCATAACTTGGTCGATTTTCATCGTATCGAGCTGGTTCTGGCGCCAAAATTTCACAAATTGAGTTGGCTACATTTTCACAGAAGGTATTGAGTTCAAACGGTATTCAAAAGGCCTTCGTTTTTTGCTCAGAGTGCGTGACACGCTGAAAATCCTGAATGCTGAATATTATTTCATTTGAGCCG